ATCATTATCAGTGTTATATTTATGTTTTGTTATTTAAGTGCCATTGATAGCCCCTGTGTGGGCGATCTTTTGCCCTGTTGGTGTTAGAGCACTGATTTCTTTAATTTTCTACTTCTTCTATGTGCAATTGATAGCCCCTGCGTGGGCGTGATTGGTTGCTCCTGTGTTAATTGTTATTAATTAATAAAAACCATTAAAATACAAAATTCCAGTAGAGAGGTGTAAGAAACTCATTGATGGTTACAGGAAGTGATTGATTTCAGTTATTTTTTTCCGAGGGGGAGTGCTGCCAAATATTATTATTGTACAGGATTTATATAGCGCCGACAGTTTTCTCAGCCCTTTACAATATAAAGGGAGATAATACAGCAACAATACAGTTCAATACAAGAGGGTTAGGAGGGCCCTGCTCCTTGGAGCTTACAATCTAAAAGGGAGGGACTGGTGGTACAAAAGGTAATAACTGTGGAGGATTAACTGGTAGGAGGAATAGAAGATTCCGTTATTGGCTGAAGGCAGGATAGGCTTCCCTGAAGAGAGAGGTTTTCAGAGATTGCCTAAAAGTGGGCAGAGTAGGCAATAGTCTGATAGATTGGGGTAGAGGGTTCCAGAGGATGGGGGAGGCTCTGGAGAAGTCCTGAGGATGAGCATGGGAGGAGGAGACAAGGGAGCTAGAGAGCAGGAGGTTGTGGGAGGAGCGGAGAGGATGATTTGGGTGATATTTGGAAACAAGATTGGTGATGTAATTTGGGGCAGAGTTATAAATGGTTTTATATTTTATCGTTAACGTTTTGAATTTTATTCGTTGGGCAATGGGAAGCCAGTAGAGGGATTGGCAGAGAGGAATGGCAGATATGGAACGGTTAGTAAGGTGGATGAGTCTGACAGCAGCATTCATGATAGACTGAAGAGGGGATAGCCTTTGATGAGGTAGGCCAATGAGGCGGGAGTTACAATAGTCAAGGCGAGAGATAACCAGGGACGGAATAAGTTGCTTAGTAGTTTCAGAAGTTAAGAAACGGGCGTAATCTTGGAGATGTTACGGAGGTGAAGTCTACAAGATTTGGATAGTGATTGGATTTGGGGTTGAAAAAGGACAGATGGGAGTCTAGGATTATACCTAGTACCCTGGCATGAGGGGAGGGACTGATGGTTGTATTATTGATCTTGATGGAGAAGTCAGGGGAGGGGGCACAGGCTGGAGGGGATAGTATAAGCTCCGTTTTAGAAAGATTGTGTTTGAGGAAGTGCAGTGACATTCATGCCGTTATGTCACTTAGTAGGTTAGTGATGCGAGAGGAGACTGAAGGGGTGAGGTGAGGAGTAGAAAGATAGATTTGTGTGTCGTTAGCATAGAAATGGTACTTAAAGCCGTGGGAGTTTATCAAGTGACCAAGGGAGGAGGTGTAGATGGAGAAGAGAAGGGATCCAAGGACAGAACCTTCAGGTGGAGTGGAGAGGAGGAGACAGAGTAACGCTGAAGGAGGGCTGCCAAAGGTAGGAGGAGAACCAAGAGAGAGCAGAGTCTCAGAGACAAGAGAATGGAGTTTTTTGATGAGGAGGGGAGCTCAACAGTATCAAAAGCTGCAGAGAGATCAAGTAGTAAGAGTATAGGCCATTGGTTTTAGCAGTTAGTAAATTATTAGTGATTAGACTAGCGATTGTAGACTAAGCGTTCTAAGAGTTTAGAGGTAAACGTGAGCAGGGAGATGGGTCTTAAGTTGTTCAAGTTGGGGGGGTCCAGTGAGGGAAAAAAAAAGTCAGCAGCTACAAATACTGTAGGCCAGGGGTGGGCAACTGTGGCCCTCCATGTCCCCCATGAGGCATTGCAAAACTGACAGTTACAAGCATGACTCCCAAATTCATGATGGGACTTGTAGTTCACCAACAGCTGGAGGGCCACAGTTGCCCACCTCTGGCCTAGGCGATCGCAGCGGAAATGGGAGCGGGTACCTGTCTAATTTGGGTACCCGCTCCCCAAAGGTACCAATCCTTAATGGGGAGCAGGGGACAAAGGCTTAAAGTGGAACTTCCCCTTTTGGCTTGAGCTCTGCTTTAAGTATGGGAGTGATGTGTGCATGCTTTAGAGGGGTGGGGAACACACCATTAGAGAGGGAGAAATTGAAGATGTGAGAGAGGGAGCATAGAATAAAAGAAGAGGGTGACCATAGTAGTTGTAAAAGACAGGATCCAGGGGGCAGGTGGTGAGATGGACTTCTGAGAAAACTTTAGTGACCTCTTCAGTAGTAGCAAGGTCAAAAGAGGAAAGTATTGAGGGAGGTTTAGTATAAGGTATGCTAAGTGGGATAGATGTCTGTACAGTGGAAATGCGCCTACGAATTGCATCAATCTTGTTTTTGAAATGATTTGCAATCTTGTAAGCAGTGAGTGAAGTACTGGGTGGTGGTGGAGAAAGTAGAGAGTTAAAAGTAGAGGAGAGACGACGAGGACTGGGTGACAAGGTATTAATAAGAGTGACAAAGTAGGCTTGTTTGGCAGCATGGAGGGAGGAATTGTATGTTAAGAAAGCAGATTTATACAGGGTGAATGCTTGCTGAGATTTGGTTTAAGCCACAATCGCTCCAGTGCACGATTATGTCTCTTAAAGATCTCTGGTGTCGTCAGTCTGTCACGGTTGTAATGGTCGGGGCCTGATACTTCGTGTAGTTAGAGGAGCAAATGAGTCTAGTGTGGATGAAAGCGAACTGTTGTAGACAGCAGTGGCCAGGTCAGGGCAGGACAGGGGAGAGATTCTGTCATAGAGGCGATCAGTTGCAGAGTGGAAAAGAGAAGGGTTTAAGTTGTGAAGGTTTCTGCAGGTAATTGTTTGCTGCTTGGAGGGATAGGTGTTTAAAGGGGAGGACACTGTGAAGGTTATGAGATTGTGATCAGAGAGAGGAAAGGGGGTGTTTGTGAGGTTGGAGGGAGTGCAAAGATGGGAGAAAACAAGATCTATTGTATTCCCATCAGAGTGAGTGGAGAACTGTGTCCATTGTATTAAGGCAAAAGATGAGGTTAGGTTGAAGAGTTGGGAAGTAGCTGGGCTGTTCACATTAATGGGGATTTTAAAATCTCCAAGAATGATAGTGGGTATTTCAGAGGAGAGAAAGTAGGGTAGCCAGGCAGAGAAGTCATCAAGAAAGCGGGAGACTGGTCCAGGAGGCCAGTAGATCACTGCAATCCTCAGAGAAATAGGAGAAAACAGCCGAATGCAGTGAGTCTCAAAAGAAGAGAAGGATAGAGAAGGAGGGTTAGGGAGGACTTGAAAGGTGCTCAGTGGGGATAGAAGAAACCCAAATTCACCTCCTTTCCAACCACTAGGTCTGTGTGAGTGAGTCCAGAGAAGGCCTCCATAAGAAATATTAAATTGAGGGTGCCAATAATTTTGTCCAGAGTCCAGTCCAGAGTTTTGAGTGGAATGTGTCAGATTTGGCTTTTTGCTTCTCCACTTTTTGTGTCACACCAATACAAACAAAAGAAATAAGCATGAGAATACCTAAACATTTTTCATTGCAACAGTTTTCTGGGCAAAGTGGTGCATTATCTAACAGAAATGCAGGGGTGCCACTATTTTTGGCCATGACTGTATATGCAGCAAAGCATGCTTGTTATACTCACTGTGGAACCTAAGGGGTTAATCTTCCGCATTGTGTAAAAAGGATGTTTGATCCTGTCTCCTCTGATCCTCCCCTTCTTCTGCTGTCCCAATCCATCTGATGATTGAACAGAGTCGCTGTCCAGACAGAGGATCCAGGGGTCCTGCAGCCTCAATCAGGGGAAAATGAAAACTCCTCTTACAAACTTTAACCAGTGCTCTGCTTGCCACTGATAAATATCTTAAGACTGCTGCATACTGCTGATGAGAAAAGGTATTTAGCAGTTTATATTTACTAAAATAATTGCATTTCCATGTTCTGTGTACTGTGGGAGACCAGATATAGTGAATGCAGGGTCCTGGGTTTAGTAACACTTTAAGTACAGAATATGCAAATAAAAATAGTCCATTTTATTTTATCTTTAACCACTTACTCCCATTGTGCAGGTGCGGGAGTTGGCCTTAGAATTAATTAAAGTGTAAACCCATGATTCTGCATTTACTATATCCAGTCTCCCACAGTACACAAACCATGGAAATTCAATTATTTTAGTAAATATAAACTGCTAAATACATTTTCTCATTTGCAATATATAGCAGTCTTGTGACTTCTATCAGTGTCCAGCCAAGCATTGGTTAATCATGTTTTCATTCTGCTCTGACTTTCCTATGAGGCTGCAAAACCCCTGACTCTCTGTCTGGACAATGCTGATTGGCCCTGTGCCAATCACATGCACCCCCCCCCCCCCCCAACAAAAAAAACACTCTCTTGCAATACACACCAAACAGAGCATGTGCAGACTTGCCACTGTTGCTCTAACAATGGCAGATGGATTGGGGACAGCAAAAGAAGGGGAGGATCAGACAGCCTTTTTACAAAATGCAGAGGATTAACCCCTTAGGTTCCACAGTAAGTATAACATGCATGCTTTACTGCATTTACAGACTGATGTTACTGTTGTACTGGTGTGGGTTTAGTCACACTTTAAACTTGTCATAACCAAGTCCATTGAACTACTCCAAAACCTCTCCCTCAGTAAACAAAACAAAAAAAAAAAAAGTCTATATTTGATTTTTCCAAAACTTTATCTATCTTGGGCATATCAGCAGCATAGTAGTCAAGCCAATCTACATCTATTAGGTACAATAGACATTTCTGAAATTGAGTGAGGGACATGAGGGAAGAGTTTTATGCTGCAAAATGTCATGGTTTGTTAACGTACAACAAATCCATCTGTGCATGATTATTTTCACAAGGGACACAAAGCATTGCTTCTTTTGCCAAGGTTTTTAGGTTTTCTGTGACATAAGGAAGTTTTCTAAAGGCTTTTTGGAACTACAAGTAAATTTAAGAAATTAATTTATTTCAGCTTCTACCATTAATTATGTCCTTATTTTAATACAGGTGCGAGTTTATGATCTTCAGCAATATGAGCACAGTGCAGATGATGTGCTAGTTTTGGCAACAGATGGCCTCTGGGATGTCTTGCTAAATGAAGAAGTGTCCGAAGCTGTTACAAATTTCCTAGCATGCTGTGACCCAGATGACCCTCACAGGTTTGTCTTTTTAATCTACAATTTTGGCATTGACAATACACACAACATATGTTTTTATGGAGCACTGTGGATACATAACACATAGCCTTCCTAAAGTGTGAAAATGTGGCAACTTGTTGGTCAACAAAAAAAAATATTTTATTTCTACACCTTCCAACCTTCCCTTTCCTCATGCACAGATGAACCCGGCTGCTTTAATATTAGTGCAGGCTGATGCTGTTCCCCTACCCCATATCTGGGAAGCCAGTCTCACATCTTCATGTGTACTGTTGAGATCAGGAACTTTACTGTGTATTGCACATTCCCATCACTGAATTGTTCCAAGAGTCCTGTTACATAGCCATTGTAGGCTTACCACCCTTCCAGTCTCAGGTGCTCCAACACTTCCATATTGATCATACCCTACTAAAGGTGACTGAGAAGACTCTAATGACAAACAATCCAATACAGAAGCTGTAAAACAGGCATTATAAGGAGCCTGCACCTACCTTTGTGTTTCCCCACCATCACTAACCTGTTGCTGGATCCTCGTGAATTCTCTCCCGTTGTTGAGTGCCACCGAGCACTAGATTGTGAGAACGTGGAGAGTGCCACATGTGCTTCTTGCTATGAAATACCACATTTGTATAGCATTGGTGGACTTTATAGGGACAGGAGGAAGCTCATGAAGGTAGATATGATTGTGCTTGATTTCTGGGTTTGATTGATAGCTGTCATGCTAGTTGGCAATGGTAGCACTACCTCTATAGCACCCCAGTCATACACCAAAGAATCTAGAGGCAAGTGGACCCTAGTGTGGGCCCACTAGCCCAGCACTGTAACTTACAAATCTCATCCTAGAAGTGCTCTACATTGGGTTGTCATGTATTAATCCTTTAATAACGTCAGGTGGTAACAATGGGAATAAAAGAAATAGGTCCATATTTAAAAACTATGTTGTGTTTTTTTTTTTTTTTTAACATTGTATACAAACCAAGAAGACATACAGTTGTGTTCAAAATAATAGCAGTCAGACATCACTAACCTGATCAATCACTGTTTTTGGTAGAAATTATATTTCTACATGGCAAATAATTTACTAGCAGGTGTAGTAGAGTAATAGAAATCCAACAGACCCAACAGTCATGACATGCATGCTGCTGATTCTGTGTAATTGAATCACTAATTGAAAGGGGCATGTTCAAAATAATAGCAGTGTGGAGTTCTATTAGTGAGGTCATTCATTCTTTGAAAAACAGGTGGCAATTATTGCCCTTATTTACGGAAGGAAGGCAGCAAATGTTGTACATGCTGGTTTACAGTGCATTTCTCTCTGAAATTCTGAGGAAAATGGGTCGTTCCAGACATTGTTCAGAAGAACAGCGTACCTTGATTAAAACGTTGATTGGAGAGGGGAAAACATATAAAGAAGTGCAGAAACTGATAGGCTGCTCAGCTAAAATGATCGCAAATGCTTTAAAATGGCAACCAAAACCTGAAAGACGTGGAAGAAAGCGAAAAACTACCATTGGAATGGATAGAAGAATAGCCAAAATGGCAAGGACTCAGCCAACAATCAGCTCCAGGAAGATCAAAGAAGGTCTAAAGTTAACTGTGAGTACTGTTACAATTAGAAGACGCCTATGTGAAGCCAAGCTATCTGCAAGAAGCCCCCGCAAAGTCCCACTGTTGAAAAAAAGACATGCTGAAGAGGTTACAATTTGCCAAAGAGCACATTGACTGGCCTTAAGAGAAATGGCGCAACATTTTGTGGACTGATGAAAGTAAGATTGTTCTTTTTGAGTCTAGTGGCTGGAGACAGTTTGTCAGACGACCCCCAAACACTGAATTCAAGCCACAGTGCACTGTGAAGACAGTGAAGCATGGTTGCGCAAGCATTATGATATGGGGATGTTTCTCATACTATGGTGTTGGGCCTATTTATCGCATACCAGGGATCATGGATCAGTTTGAATACATCAGAATACTTGAAGAGGTCATGCTGCCTTATGCTGAAGAGGAAATGCCCTTGAAATGGGTGTTCCAACAAGACAACGACCCCAAACACACCAGTAAACGTGCAACATCTTGGTTCCAGACCAACAAGATTGACGTTATGGAGTGGCCAGCCCAATCCCCGGATCTTAATCCAATAGAAAACTTGTGGGGTGACACCAAAAATGCAGTTTCTGAGGCAAAACCAAGAAATAGAGAAGAACTGTGGAATGTAGTCCAATCATCCTGGGCTGGAATACCTGTTCACAGGTGCCAGAAGTTGGTTGACTCCATGCAACACAGATGTACAGCAGTTCTCAGAAACAGTGCTTATACAACTAAATATTCATTAAGTGATTCAAAGGAAAGCAAAATCTTCAAATATTTTTCAGTTTATATAGTGAATGTTTGAGTTTGTAAAGAAGAATACAAACAATGCTATTTTTTGAACAGTCTAATATTCACTTTTCTTCAATTTTTTTAGAGGAACAACACAAATTTGATATATTTTTCTTCATGTTTTGATTTGGAATAGAATGTGTAGTGTTCCCAATGCATTTGTGTGTATGGAAATAAAAGCTATATTAGAAGGATTTTGAGCTTTATTCACTTTTTTCAACACACTGCTATTATTTTGAACACAACTGTAGTTACTAGAAGTAATTTTGTAATTACATATGGTTTTTCTCTTGTCATAGAAGTATCGAAACCATATAAATCTCTAAAAACTACCTAAATCCCTTAGCTTCCCTATTCCAGCACTACCCATTAATTAGATACAAAGTTGGAAACTAGGAAAAGCTTTCTATTTTTGTGCAATGGGAGCACTATAGAAGCTTGATGCTTCATTGTATGTAGTAACTGCATGTTCAGACTTCCCACTTGTAATAGCAAATAAACATTTGTGTTGTGCTGGTTTTTTGAACGTTTATTGACAAACTGTCACATCATTCACATTAATCTGCAGAATATAGGAATGCATACAAATGGTCTTTAGTCATAAATGTTGCCGCTGCTTAGTCTTCTAAGTGCTAATGCAATCAATACAAGACAAGGCATTGCAAAAAGAAATCATATTTGCCTGAAGAATTGGTTTTATGTTATATACAGTAACACTGTTGTTATGTTTGGACAGATACACACTGGCAGCTCAGGACCTGGTAATGCGAGCAAGAGGTGTACTGAAAGACAGAGGCTGGAGAATATCTAATGACAGGCTTGGCTCAGGAGATGACATCTCGGTGTACGTCATACCATTAATACATGGCAGCAAACAGTCTTAAGAGTAACCTGGAGGCAGGCAGCGTTTATAAGTTATGTACTGTTAACCTGTTGTGAATGGGAACATGTATGAAAATTTCACTACTGATAAAAGGGCATTGCACAGTCTCCCGAAATGTATGTTTGGGACCTCAGATGGAGCATACCTAAATGCTGCTAATGATGTATGATTTCTCATATTGTACACTAAAACCCTAAACTAATGGGCTTATTTGGTAAAACACTGCAAAAAGTAATGTTGCACAAAAAGCAGTAACCTAAAGTTAACAGCCAGAAATCAGTTTGCAGAGGTCACGGAAGTGGCTGATTATTTCTGATTGGTTACTGAACTTTGCACAATATTCTTTGTCATATTGAATAACCCAGTTGTTTTTTTTTTTTCTTTGCTGAAATTCAATTTATTTCTACTATGGTACTCTTATAGATACATGGAAGCACATGTATATGTTAGTCTGGGTTGATCAGGACAATTAGCCTGTGCCTCCAGCCAATGTATATTTAAATTTTAAGTCCATGCATCAGTTTTCATGACACCAGTAGTTGCAGCTGTATGAAGTCTCTGACATATTTTCATATCGCATAAATGTATCTATCACATTGAACTGGTAACTTACAAAGGTAAAGTTAGTTTTACAGTGCAATATCATCAAATCAGTTACCCTACTGTACAGGTGAGCAAAAAGCCTTGACATTCAAGTAGATCTAACACTAAAAGGTTTCTTTTTTGTTTGTTTTGGATAGAGAAAAGAAGTGTTAATTCCATGTCAGTTTTTTTTTTAACTTCTGTGTTCTGTCGAGGAAACTTTCCTTTACTTCCTGTCCCATTGACACATAAGGGAAAGAGAGAAAATCTCTGCAAAGGGAAGGATATCCTCTTTTAGACATTACAAGTGTCCCCATAGGAAGATTTCTTCTCTATGCCTGTTCTACTGATGGCTCACACTTTTGCAATTTCTCTTACTTGGTGACAGTAGCCACCAAGAACAATAGGGGGAGTGAATCTTCCCAAACAGGGACACTGGCTATAAGATCCTGACAGGGTTGACAACTAGTCTCTAATGTTACCAAAACTAAGAAAAAAATGTTTTGGCTTTAAGAGTAGAATGCACTATGGTTACCTGCCTTTCAGTTGATTGTGGTTAGTAACTGCAGAACATTGTTTCTTGCACTGATATTTGTTAAGCCTTATAGCATGTGGGTATTCTTCATTCTACCTGTCTTCCATTCCATGGCCACTTCAAAGATTGAGGTGGCTCAGAGTAAAGGGAACCTCTTACAGAGACCATTCATTTTCTCTGCATGCAGCAATGGGGCGGTATATGAATGACAGGTGATGATGTTCCCTTTAGAGAAGGAAGATCTCTGTGTGTCAGTCATAGAAATAGGGTCTTTAAATAGTTCATAGGGTTAAATGAGTCTCTTTCCAAGTCCTTCTTCCTGCATCAGCTCTCTCTTAAAGTGTGAAACCCAATGTGTTTTTAAAAGCTTATATTGTTAAAATCGTACGATTTCCAGTGAAAGCTATCACTCAGAACTTTCTGCTTTGATGACCAATATTGTACAACACGCTGCTACTAGTGCTGAACCAAAAATGGAATGTAAAAAGCAATCGAGGAAATACACCTGAGTGCACAAAACTTTTACCTGTGAAAAACAAATGACACCCTAGCTTTTTCGAATATCGTTGCATACCAGCCAAAACACTTTGTATTCTGAAACTTTATTTCAGTGAAATACATCTTCTGCCTAGCTATCACAGAGCCATTTCTGGAATGCTGATCTGCAAAAACTGAGCGTGTTTGGCATACCTTAGAATTTGCAACACTCTTTACTCTTCTTTAATCTGAGTGCTACATCATCTCTGATGTATCTCGAAGTCGGTCATTCTAAGATTCAGCTGTTACACATCAGCCACAAGGGCTCTGTCACCGGATGGTGCTTTGTAGCTATGTAAATTTCTTTAGCTTTAAGTGTGAAGAGGGGTACTCCACCAAGTGGTCCCTTTAAAGTAACACTCCCTAAAGTGCACTTCTGCCAAAATTATGGACATTAAAGTAACAACATATTTTTAACAAGCAGTAAAAGAGCTGTAAAAAAAAAAAAAAGTTCTTACTGACACCAGTATCTTTACGCAATCTGAAGTAATTCATCCTCAAAGATCACAACAGAGACACTGAAGTCAGGGTTCATTCTGTTTCTGACAGCTTACATCACCTGCTGCTTGTTTGCATTAGAAGGCTGGCAGCTTGGTAAGTCTCTGCTGCCGGACAAAAAAAGGAGAGATGCTGAGATTTCAGTGTCTCCTGGTGATTTATGAAGATAAATTTCTTTATGGTGCCTTCAGAGGTCAGTGATGGGATAGTTTAAAGCTTTTTTACCATATGTTAATATGCAAATACTTTAATGTCTATAGTCTAAGCACAGGTGAACGGTAACTAAAAGTAACCCTTTGTCTGCATACTGGCATTTATGCAGCAGGATTTTCTGCAAGTACAACTACGTTGCTATACTCATGCATAGCTGGGTAGGTGTCTGTGTGGTTACAAATGCCCGGTGTGATTAGGGTTTTAGCAGTTAAAGGTGGCAGTTTTGTATCCAAGTTTAATGTTGCTAAAGAAGAATTGGCCTGTGCCTAAACAATAGAATTGCTGGAATTTCTATGAAATAGTGATCACTCCGTCTCCAGTACAATATTTTCCCAGAAACAAAAGCTCTCCATGACAGAGATTTGTAGCCACCACAAATCACTGCTGCTAATTTTGCTTTTGTGACATTGTCCGTTGGAAGGGACTTAATGCCAATCCAGCAGTATTTGTATCTAATGAATGAATGAGACCAATTCTGCAATGGTTCCTGAAAGATAATTAAACATTTGCTCTTTACTTGTTTGCGAACATCCATCAGCCTAGCACTCTCCAGCTTAACAAATCCATGTGGTTCCCCCTCTAACCGCAGCTTTATTTTATGCGTGTAGATATCCTTATATCACTTTTGTATTTATGCACCGAGACCTTGGCACGGCAGTGTATTCCTCCCTGTCAGCCTATGGCATACCAAGAAAGCCAATTTAATGTTCCGATGCAGAGGGAGAATATCAAAGTCACAGCCTTTCAAAGGACACAAGAAATGTGTCAGCGCACTCACTGATTCCCAGCACTGCCAATGAGGTCAAGTCTAGCTGCAGTGCAGACTGGATAGATAATCACATTAGATTTATTTTGCACTCAACATATCTTTAGCTACAGTTAAATTAAATTCTTATGACAGACTAGAGTAAGCAGTATTTTATCAGTACTTATAATGTAATGTTGGGTCATCTTTTTCCCTAGGTTTGGCCATGAGCCTCTGTGTAACACGATAAAGGGAAGCAAAAACTACTCATTCAATGAAAAGTGTTAATAGAGACTCCTCTTATTTATTTCAGAATGTTGCTTTTCCTTCCATTAGGCCTAGACTTTATAAGAAAGGAGCAGAATGTGTTGCAAATATCTTCTATCCAGAGAACTGGACCATGCAGATATTTGAAGGGATGGAATCTAGTTTAAATACACAAGGCAGAAAAATAACTTACTAGTGGGTTTAAAATCCTGAGAAAGAACTTTTTAGACACTGTATGTTTAATGATTGTTCTCCTGTTTATACATATTTCCTGTACAATATTACTTACTTGAACCATCATAATGGTATGTATCAGTGTTTTTGCTACTACTGTTGTGGTTGAGCATCTAGGGCAAAAAATTGCAATGGCCCTAATGGCCCTAAGCCATAAGATTTTACACTGTAGCACAAGGCTTTTGAACATACCTACATAAATGAAGTGTCACAAAAACATAATGTTAAAGTGTATGCCTGTTCATGTACATCTCTGCAGTACATGCATTTTTCCTAATGGTGGCCATTGATTTTTTTTTTTTCTCTATCCACACAAGCGAGGTGGATAGAGGAATCCTCCACTGACATAATACAAGTTTTCCAACATTCCCGTTCATCAGAAGTCTATCTAAAGATCAACTTCTGTTAAACAGGGTTGACCATACATGAATCAAAATTCATCAGGTCTCTACTGAACTGGCCTAATTTTGAACCATCAACGACCAGCTTTATGCTCTGTCTCTTTACAAATGTAAAAGTACAGATCAATATTTATTTATCTTGCCAGTAATCCAGCAAGCACCTACATTTTTGTGCCTAGATGACAGTGCTGCCTTTGTTGTCCTGAAATTCCAGCCTAGATTATTAGCGCTGCCTGAGTTCTTCTCTGCTTGAATACAGAACACTTCTCGCTTGCTACATCTTCATAATATGGGTGGAGTTCTGTAGTTCACCAGGGGAGAACCCAGGCAGGGCTGACAATGCTGCTTGGGATTTTAGTGAAACGGATAAACATTGCCAGCTCATTTTAGGAAGTTAGGCTGGAATTGGCATTCTTACCAACTAATAGTAAGAACATCAGTTTATCAATGTTACTAACTCATGTTTGTCAGCTGTTTGGAGATTAAAAGATACCCAAGTGTAAACTGTAGAGTAGTCCAAAAAAGTACAGTCATTCTCACAAAACCTCTAATTAACAGTTAAAGGACCTTTAAGTCAGCATGTTTCCTTTGTATCGCTTACATCCAAATGCGTCTTTGGCACTATTGTTGTTACAAATCATTGTAATTGCTTTAATAAAAATATTGGACAAGGAAGAACCTTTAAGTATTAAGAATTTGTATAAGCATACAATAGATAGGCCAATCTTGCGTCATAGAACTTTGGAAATCATTTCTTGAACCTTCCCCTCATTATGTAGAAAACTTCATTTTAAAACAATCCTCTTCCTGACTTTCTTTACTTTTATTAAAGTTTTATACTGAGGAAATGCAAAGAGAAACAATGATGTTGCAGAAAATGCTCATTATTATATTTGAAGGTTCCAAAGGGTAAAGATGTGAGTGTAATTTCAGATTGTTCCCATCATTCCCATATTTCTAATTGGTTTGGCTTTCAAGCAGTGACAACC